GAAATCACCGACTGAAACTAAAACTAGATACAGGGTGCTAGGTAAATGCACCTCTATCAAAAGCCAATCCTGGTTCACGTAGGTGCAGATTGAAAAAAGTCAATGTCAGACAGGTTAAACGATATTCACAATCCATGAAGTGTTTCGTCAGCGAGTTGTTTCACGTCGGTAAGTGGAGAGTTCTTGGTTGTGTCGCAATGGACGTCATACCTTAAAGTCAATTGCTATAGAACAGTTGAATTCATCTCGTTCTTCACATTATGAATTAAGTGACAGTACTGCTTATTTCTCGATTTCACCTCACTAAAAATTTCATGTCATCTTTTGTTATACATTCCATTTGAAACTATTTACTCTTTTCTTCTAGTCATCTTGTTCATTTAATTTCTATGTACGATATGAACTGTATCAATTCACAGCAATAAGTATTCCTACCTCAATAATAGTCATTTATTCTTATAGCTTAAAGGAACATATTACTATATGATTTCAAGAAAACTGTTTACTTTTATAAGGTATCAGAAGTTATGTAGGTATTTTATATACGCATTATTCAAAATATTATGACAAACATGTTAAATGTAAGTTGTATTATTTGTTTTCAAAAGTGCTGATATTTAGTTAATGTGATTACATGCACTAAACTTATTCGTTGCATAGATTTTAATTGTGTCCAAAAAATAAATACTCTCAGTTGGTTCTTTTCCTAATTTCCTCCTCAGCTGGAAGTTGGTTTGTTATCTCCTACAATTAGCTGTTACTAATGGTATCCGGCCAACGGACATTGAGTATCTTACGTAGACAATTGTTTATAAATACTTGTACGTTTTTGATGGCTGCGGTAGTTCTTCAAGTTTCAGCTCTATACAGTGGAACTGTCTTGACATTTGTATTGAAGATTGTGACTTTGATATTGGTTGACAGATATTTTGAGTTGTATATGTTATTCAACTGTAGGAATGCTGTCCTTGCATTGACAATCCTCGCCTTTACGTCTGCATAAGATGCTCCATGTTAATCGATGATGCTATCCAGATAAGTGAAACGTTCCACCTCTTCCAGAGTTTCTCCGTCAAATGTGATTTGGTTGATGTTCCCTGTATTGCATTTGAGGATCTTGCTTTTTTCCTTGTGTAGGTTAAGGCCTACTACTGCAGAGGCTTCTGCTACACTGGCTATCTTCACCTGAATTTGTTGGTGTATATGGGATAGAAGGATCAGTTCATCTGCAAAGTTCGAATCGTCTAATTGCATCCAATCTGTCCGCTGTATTTCGTGCTTCCCCTCATGTGAAGGTCTTCATAATCCAATCAACCACTAGAGGGAAGAATTAGAGGGAAAGCAAGCAGCCTATCATGACTCCGGTCTTCACTTGGAATGAATCTATCGCTTGTCCTGCATAAGCGTCTTTACAAATTACTCAGTCGTATGAATTCCGTATGATATTGACGATTTTCTCAGGTACTCCATATTGTCGAAGACGTTTTCATAGTCATACGATCTACACTGTCAAATAATTTCTCATAGTCAAGGAAGTTAATATATAGTGACGGATTCCATTCAATTTATTGCTCAACAATGGTCCGTAGTGTCGTGATTCAGTCTGTGCACGATCAATCCTTACGGAGTCCACTCTGTTGATCTGGAAGCTGGACATCTACTGAATCTTTCATCCGGTTCAGCAACACTATGTTGAAAACTTTTCCCGGTACCGATAGTAGTGTGGTGTCTCCGTAGTTCTCACATTTTTTCAGATCTCTTTTCTGTGGTATCCTTCCTTCCAGTTCATCGGCATTTGTCCTTCCTCTCAAAACTTCCTGAAATGAGTGTGAAACATGTTGCAGTTACTTCTGTGTCTGACTTTGATGCTTCGGTTGGTATATTGTCAGATCCTACTGCTTTTCCACTCGATTTGTCTGATGGTCATCCTAATTTCTTCCGTAGTTGGTGAAGTGACATCTATAGAAAGGTCTGTGTATGCTGCCTTGATGTCCGGTGGGTTCAGTGGGGCAGGTTTACTCAAGAGTTCCTCAAAGTGTTTTACCAACCTGTTCCTCTGTCCTCGAATCTGTGTCTGTCTTGTCTTCCTAGTCCTTGACTGATCTCTCTGGCTCACTATATTTGCCCACTACTTTCTCCGTTGTATTGTATGATTGTTTCATGTTTCCTTCTCTTGAAGCATTTTCCGCTGTCGTTTCTAGATCTTTCATGTATTTCTGATTGTCAGCTTTAATGCTCTTCTTCACTTACTTGTTTTCTTGTGTGTAAACATTTTGTCCCTTGACTTTCTCTGCTCGTGTTCGGCTGTTGTTAAGTGCCAAGTGGTGATCTGATGCTATGTCAGCATCTCTCATGGTTTTCACGTCTCCCATTGTCCTTCTCAAATTTAAATTGATACAAATATAATCTATCTGGTTCTGTGTAATGTGATCCGGTGAAATCCACGTAACTTTCTGTATGCGTTTGTGGGAATATTGTACCGCCTATAACCAATTTGTTGGATGAACATAGCTTTGCAAATCTCCCAGCATTTTGGTTTCTCTCTCTCAATTAGTCCATGTCGTCCCGTGATATCTCCAAATTCAGTGTTGTCCATTCCGACTTCGGTGATTAAGTCTCTCATTAGGATGTTGAGATCCTCCATAACTGATTGCAGCCTCTCGTAAAAGTAAACTTAATCGTCGTCACTGTCATCATGGGTGAGTGCATAACATTGGATTCCATCGCTCTTTATTATGAAGGATGCTCTGATGATCTCGGATCCATGAGACGCCCATCCCATAAATGCATTTCGTGCTTCTTTGGACAGCATCAGAGCAACTCCATAAATGTGTATAGCATTTTCCTCTTCGTGACCGGAGTACAGCAGCATCTCTACGATACCTAGCCTTTGTTTTGCAGCTTGAGTCCAATGGGTTTTGCTGATTTCGAGGACCCCCAAGTTGTATCTCCTCATTTCCGTTGCTATTTGATTGGTCCTTCTGGTCTTCCACATTGCTCGGACATTCCATGTACCTATAAAAGTTCTTGGTTTGTTTGTTGGAAGAGGGATCGGTCTTGTGACTTCCGGAAAATCTCGGCTTTTATCATGATGCGTCATGATTCTTCCTTCTGAGCAATTTTATTGTGACCAAACATGTATTAATGGATAAAACCATTACTATTGTTATTTTCATTGCCACATTGTCATTAAGGTGAAATAAGCCCTTGTGGAGCAAGGCACATTGGCCGTAGCCAGCGTTCGCTTTCAAATCGGATACGGGAACATATCCCAGCTTGGTTCTATAAGGGTGAAAGGAAAGCAGTTAGGAGTTCTATACTTGAACACCTAATCCACTATAACCATTCTACAGATCCACAAATTGACTTTAAGGTTGTTTATATGATTCGTTCAAATCTACCCAGATTTCTTCGCATCCAACTTTTAAAAATAGCCGAAGCTCTTACTATCCAGGAGCTTAAACCAGAACTATGCGTACATAAGAAGTACGTATTATCGTTATCGTTACCTTGAGCTTTAAGAGTTTATTCTATTGAAAGTTATGAAAACATAAACTCAACAGATTTATTTCATGTCTCTAATTAGTAACTAAATAAAATTTAGTTAACCTTAATACCTATATAATTTAAAAGACGTTCATGTAATGGTAAAATGATCGAAATATTGGACGATGAAATGTAAACATAAACAGTTAAGATTGATTTCATCCATTTCAAAGTACATTTTATTCAATCAGAATGTTTAAAAAAACTGTAACATGTTTATTGTTGATTTGTTATTGAAGCAATCTTCGATAACCAGAGAGGTGAGTAAACTCTAAAACCGCTTTCACTTAGTTGTGATAAAGTCACATAGATTGCCCTCGTTATATGGTGGCATAACATTACTTGTTTGCTGGTCGATTTCGATAGAAAATAATTCTAGGTATAGAATTAACTACAATTTAGCACGTTAAATAATTCCATACCCAAGGGTTCAGTATTTCAACATGACATTACTGATTGAAAAGTGGCCTTTCTGTGCTTAAATAAACGTTATATGACCTTAACTGAGCTTCGATTTTACGATATAAAGATTAAACCCTACTTATTTCATGACAAAAATAAATCAAAACTATAAGCTTATTGGAAGTACAACGTATAAAACAACCAGCACTTCCGTATATGGTGAACTGATTCAGACATGTAACGTTTGTTAGAACACCGTAATTTGTGGAAAACGACACGTTGGTCAGAGAAAAAGATAGAAACTACTAAATGAGTCATCAGACGACTGGTCTATAAAATCAACAGCAGGCTTATCGATACACATACGCAAGTATATGAATCAAATTTCATTTTCTGATTAACACATTGTTTACATAGAATTGCTGCTTCGTGTCCCCTTTGTCTTTATGGTACTCACAGACTTAGCCAATTTCATAAAGGATATAGTGTTCAACAGAAATGTGTGCGCTCTTTAATTTAGTTGACATTTACGTTACTACTTTGTTGACATTTGCGGAATCCAAGTTTATAACATTTCAATATATTTTTTAATCCACAATAGGATGTAAATTATTGATTTTTCTTATATCAACAGGTTTATGAAGTTATTTAGAGTAGATTTCTTCTTCTATGAACTGATAGAACAATGATCGAAATGCCAAGATATTGAAAAACACTAGTTCAGACTTATCTTCATTCATGTACTATCAAACTAATGAGGTAAATCACGACGATCAGCTTAATTTTGAAGAGTTACTTAGAAATCCTTTAGTACTGGAATTGTATTCATTAAACATTATAGGAAAACGACTTTTCTACGTTGAATTCGATTTGTTTGACGGTTGATGTTTACAGTTGTATGGCTGACTATATAAGCATTCCAACTCTGATATGATATGGAAATTTTGTTTAAGCTATAGACGACCAAATTCAATGAAAATCTTAAAAACAACTTATAGTGAGAAAAACATACGGTACATCTTAGTAAGTAGTGCCAATAAGTAAAAAACTTTAGACGAACTCTTTATTACTAAGGTAGTTGATACATAACACGATCACAATACACAGTCCGATTGGAAAGACTTATTCACCAATATGTTATGTAGCATGTAATAACAGATTATGGATTATGTATACAACTTACGAGTAATTACATCAATAATTCATTATTTTTATTCGATAGGAAACAAATTGTATGTAAGTACATGAGATGAACACTGTCAAAAAAACACAAATGTAGTTAGTAGTAACCTTGCACATCCTAATGAATACGTTGAAATATTCACAAAACAGGAGTAATAAGTATTAACAAGAGTAATGTGAAATAAAGAACAAAAACACACTTAAGCCGATATAGTCAAACCAATCATTTATATTCACTCAGATATAAAAGTATCAGCGATAAACAAAAAACCAGTAAGGAACTAGGAAGGAATTTGATAGACCAGAATGGATAATCACCATTACAGTATAAATAAGTAGTGAAAACAATTAAAAAAATGTGGCATAATAGTAATAAAAGAATAAACACTAAAAGACAGCGAAAAGTGAGCCGCACTAGATATGAGATCGATAAATCTAGTCCACAAAATATACAGGTCTACCAAAATCGAGGGTTATTTCAAGAACAACAACCATGAGGATAGTAAGATACTCATATTTCAATACGATTACATTGGCTAGGTGATATATTTGTAACTGAATGGTTCATTTATGTGCTGCAAATATTTGATGAAGCAGTAAATACAAGACATGGTTGATTTTCGGCATTCACTGTACAAATAACATTGTTATTATTAACATTATTATTATCACTATCATGAATATTACTATTTATATTACTCGATGTAACAACACACGAATTAACACCAATAGTACTATTTGTTGTTAGCACAACCGGTAGAAATGGTAAAGTTAAATTCAAACTTTTATATAACCTTTGATAATGTGGTAGAATTTCATATTCAGATGGAATAAGAGAAAACTCTAAACCTAATGCAACATCTAATTCTGTGTTGATTAAATCACGACGTGAGATACGAAAAGCTGTCTCCAATTCCTAAAAAAAAGAAACAAACGAAAATGAATGCTGAAAAGACCATATACAACAAAAGCGATGATAAATCTTTTACCAAAAAGATGAATATCAAAATGTGATAACTAAATGAGACAAAAAAACGAAATTCCATACCAGAATGACTCAGACAAGAATAGAAGAATGGTATCACTTCCGACAATAACAAACTCATATTACACATGAACAATCTATTGTTCAACAAAGCTTTAGAAACGTAATTAGTATCGAAATAAACAGATGCTTTGTAAAACGTTCATAAAATAATTAGTAGTACGATTTCAAACATTCATGCATTAGGTGACGTTCTTTGCTTAAATGTTATCCACGTGTTGCAAATTGTGCCTCAATAGATTAAAAAATCTAGATAAGAAAAGAAACACTAGAAGGCAAATAACATCAATCATAGTGGACAGCTAAATATAATTCCAAGAGAACAAACTAGATCAATAAATAAAAAGTATAAAACTGACACTGGGAAGACTTGGAAGCTAGAAAATATAGCTGCAATAACGCCACGGATTATGTCACCAAACTTCTAAAATAAAATATTGTGGCTGTTATTAAGTGTCTGATTATAAATTCTGCACCTCTTCAGTAAGGTTTAAGCTTCCAAATCATTTTCAATCTATTCCTATGTAAGGTACCACTCCACATCGAAATAAGAAGTCCGAAGACATTTGTTACATGCATTCAAAATTTAAAATAAGTGGAACACATCTTGATTATTTTAGTCTATAGGATTATAGCATTTTATCAAGTAACTCAGTTACACAGCAAAAAGACTCCGATTCTATTACCCATTCATCAATTTCATCAACATAAGCATTCAGGGGATTTACAAGACAACCTACTATAAATGTATTCTATTGACAGTACCACAATGAACTTAACAGATTTTCGTAATTAGACTATATAAGTCAGTCAGTCAGTAACAACGTAGAACTTCGTACGTACATACATCAGTTCGAGTTGCCATACCACATTAGCACAGAGATGCAGTTGTCGAGTCAAATTCCGTAGTCGTAGAGGTAGTAAGAGTATTAGCAGTAATCGGAAGGTTAGAGTTTGGAGATGTTATTTAAAGAGTATAATTCAGTGAAATAAATTTGGGAAGAGAAAAAAGAGACAAGGAGGATTCAGGAGATTAGAATTCGGGAGAACACAAAGAGTGGATGCACCTGCACCGTTGCAAACGATTTTGAGCCATGTCATTCAAGGTCTCTAACCATCGGTTGCTATCATCTCGCGGTCGCCAACCAGGTAGTCTACACCTACCGACATGACTCAGTCCACTTGTCAGTGCCTTCATGGACTTGTGCCATGTTTTGGTCTGGCCGCCCCTAGCTTTCTTCCAACCTACTCCTATACCATTGAACATCGCACGTCGAGGCAGTCGGTCGTTGGGCATACGTAACACGTGTCCCAGCCATCTCAACTGATGGAGTTTCACTACTTCATCAATCGACTTGCCAACCTTACCTAGTACTCGTTTCCTAACAACTGCATCACTCACTCGGTAGTCCCTGGATATACGAGCGATGCTTCGAAGACACCTATGATCGAATACTAGTAACCTACGAATATCCTCTACTCTTACCGGCCATGTTTCACTTCCATAAAGTAGGACGGGACGTACTGCTGCACAGTAAACACGTCCTTTGGTTGATAGACGGATATCTCGCCTACGCCATAAATGACGAAAGTTGGCAAAAGCTAGTCGAGCCTTCTGTATCCGTGCTGAGATTTCGTCACACACCAGACCACAAGAGCTGATGAGACTTCCAAGATAAGTGAAGCGGTCGACACGCTCAACTACTTCACTCCCTATCACTAGTTCGGGTGTCAGTGCAACCCGATTCTGGAGCAACATTTTGCATTTCGAGGGGGAGAATCGCATCCCGAACATGCTTGCATTGTTGCTTATAGTAGTCAGAAGACTGCATTTTGTCAGCGTCTTCACCAAATAGAACTATGTCATCGGCATATTCCAAGTCAACAAGTCAATCTCCAGGTAGAAGTTCAGCCCTTGAAAATTTAGATGAGGAAAGTGTTATCTCTAAAAGTACTTCAATGACAAAGTTAAACAAGAATGGAGAGAGTGGACAGCCCTGATGAACACCACTTGAGGTAATCGATTGTGATGACAGTTCGCCATAAGCTCTCACTCTACCAGTTGTGTTTGAGTAGAGAGCCTTTACAAGGTTAACGTACTTCTTTGGTACTCCTTTCAGTGACAAACACTCCCATAGAACCTAACGATCAACAGAGTCGAATGCCATATATATATATATATATATATATATATATATATATATATATATATATATATATATATATATATATATATATATATATATATATCACAAGAAATGTATGGATAAACAATTATCTTGGAAATTTCATAGAATCTGAATGATTATAAGGCGAAACTAAGAAAAGCAAAGGGCAATATGAATGGTGAAAAACGGATAATTAATAACTAGGTTGACGAATTTTGTTAATCATTTAAAAGTTAGGGATAGTCAAGAAAACAAAAACAAGATATTTAATTCGAAAACAAGAGATTTTATCATCAGGATCGTGTTATGATGATCAAAATAAGCCATACATACACAAACACATTAGTAAATTCGATAATGTAACGAGTTAAAAAACTGAACTTTACATTGATTCTAGGTTATGGACGTCTAAAATGTGTCATTTACAGAGCTGAAAGGTTATTTAAAAATGATGTAGGCAAATTCATTGTAGGTTGTTGAGTTACAACTAGCAAAGTAAAATAAATTATTCGCGAATTAAGAATAGGCACGGAGGAAATAAACATACAAAGTAGATTGTGAGGTAAGAATTTACAATGTGCCTTATGTATGGTATGACTCAATTATGAACACTAGCAAACAGAGAAACTGAATAAACTTCTTTTGAATGCATAAGCTGAGTTTCCTAGAGGCGAATCAGGGTTTCTAACTGCATGAACTGATGATTTTTATTTTATTTATTTTAACACATAGATATTGGTACAAGGAGGCACCAAATACATTTGAGTCACACAAATCTCATTTGATATATGTGAGGCCTGTGATACTGCCCAGGTGGCCAAACCGAAACAGGTGGTTTTCTTAGGGGGTCACACCCGGAGCCTTTGACCTAAAGGTCAAACCCACAAGGCAGTGGAGCATCGTGAGGAGATGCAGTCCCATGATAGCTGGTGGCCAACGATTGGTTCATACGCTACTTTTTCCCTCAGGGTACTGTAGCCCATGTGCACCACTGGTTTGGAATGATAGTTTTCCAGTTCCCCTAGATGGACTCTCCATGTCCACCAACCCGAATAAAGCACTGGACATTCGCTTTTCGTCCTCTCATTTTCGTAAACAGCACCCCTGCCATGAGAAGGCAGTGAGTAGGGCTTCCCTGGCAGAGGCTGTATATGGGTGGCCGTGTGGGAGCATTTCAAGAGGGAGGGCGGACCCACCCCACTCTCGGCCATACCAGGGTATAGTTAAGACGTTATTCATTTTCATAGTGTTCAAAAATATTTTTCAGTCAGAATACAGAACGATAGAGATATTTGTCGTTATTCTTTGTACTAGAAACTTAAAATCATAGTCAAACAAGAACACCTAAAGAATTCTTTGAACATCAACCACGTATAGATACAAGAACTTACTTGAAGTAAACCAAATAATTGTGAACCTTTTACATCATTCAGTTTCGCACTGATCAAGAGTGAAGCTGAAGCACATAATCTTCTATTCAATTTTGTTAAAAACAACTATGAACCAACATGGAAGAGATAAAATAAAAAATTGTCTTTACTTATTGAAGCAAAAGACACAAGAAAACATAAAATTAACAGATAAGATAATTTGATTTTTGAAATAGTTGTTGTATAGTACAACTGATGCATAATGCAACTGTAAAACTGTTGGGATATTCAGAAAAATATCCCAAAAATTATTCTGTTAAGTCTAACGCTATTCTTGGACTTGGAGATGGTGTCATCTTCTTATTGGTCAATATTTATTTCACGTGTCATTTTCCTACTGGTCAATATTGTACAATGTTATTTTCTATTTTATGGTACGATGTGGTCTGCTTGACTGGTATATAAACAAAGTATGTTTGAAATATGATGATTCATATCTCCGAGGCTGAGACTTGTGTTCTGGACTCAACTGGCTGGGCTAGACAGGGAAGCGGGAGCAATCAGAACCCTAGGCCGTTCTTACGTGTTTGCGCGTCTTTGGTCCGATCGATAATTCGCTCTCCTCTAATCTACCGTCACAGTTATAGCAAAAACTCAATTAACAACCATCAATGATTAAATTTCATATTACCGCACTAACATTTTTCTCTCCTCATAACCAATAATTGAAGTCTCATAAACACTGAAGGATTTATATTCCATCATTAACGATCATGAAGAAATATAAATTTGTGAGTTAATTTACAAAAAGTCAAGAGTTTGAGAATTAGCCATTAAAGTGACACTCTTCAAGTAGCCAGGAATGCAAATAGAGTATAGGTGCGTGGATCTAAATCTTCAAAATAAAGATCCTATTTTCAATCGATTGTGGTTGAATTTCTGAGAAATAAAGCAGTCTTCACCACCGGCCCCTCCGAATAGGAACAACCAAATAACATAAACTAGATTGGTTAATATTACGAACGAATAAAAAAGCAGTCATCAATCGATAATTTCATAAGAAGGCTAAAATCTTTCATTGTTGGAACGTATATATGCTATCTTCATTTAGTTTTCATACACAGAATTCGATCACAATCTCACCATGTTAGAAATTAATAATTATGAGGATTGCCGGTGTTCGAATAAAGCATCATTACGTAATTTATTTTTACGTAGTTCGTACAAGCTGAGAGAGAATACTTGTAGTTAAATAATACTATATTCCTTATTACGGACCAGAAAAATGAAGCAATCTGATTTATCGAAGAAATTAGAGGGAGTAGTGGCAGATAAATAGACATATAAAACGAAGTACCTGTATACTGAATAGTTAGAAAACATATCCTTTGTTGTTGAATGCAGATTCTGACTACTAAACGTTACCTTCGAAATCGTCCTGCTAACGTGTGTTTCGCTATCTCTTATCAGACTCTATGGCCTACCGAAAATACTATATGATATGACGACCCTGCCAAACAAATCATCCCTATGTAAGAGAGCAGAACACTTCCTCTAGAAAAAGTGGGGACCTTGCCCAACATGTTTGCGCGAATTTTGCAGCCCTAGTCAGAGCATCCCTACGTACACTTGATGCCTAACAAATCCGAAAAAATATGGAACGCTTTATGATTTCAGGTGAATGTACTAAAAAATCATGTGATGCATCACAATATATATATATATATATATATATATATATATATATATATATCAAATGAAAGGGATATTTAAAAGGGTTACAAGTTGTTAGAAAATATCGTGTGAGCAGATGGAAGAATTTCGGAAATAGATTGAAAATATATTTAGAAATAACAACTAATCTGCAAAGCATAGGAAGTCGGCTCCTATATATTCAAAAAATGAGATTGGATTCGACACAACATCAAAAACGATAGGGTCTCTGAAAAATAACACTTATTTCCGAGAGTTAATGAATTACTGACGAAAGTCATTGTGAACGAAGTGGAAAGTAAACGACAATATAACCTACACTGAAAATTTCAACAGGATCGCATAACTAGAATATTTATATATTACTTTTATTCCATACTTTCTTTTTCTCATATCGTCAATCAAGAATAGTGATTCTGGTCGTGAAATGATTCCTTTTTGTTATAAGTATGAAGTTCAATTACCATTATTCGCCGTTAACGCAAAGTAACTAGTACACGTTATAACTACTTGACTTTAATACTTCCTTATTAATTTATATTAAGCAATATGATTTTCTGTTAACTTGGCATAAATCCTTTAGTTCCCTTTGTACATTTTCATGGTGAATGAAAAGCAGTCAGTGACATTAAAATGTCAATGAGATTCAAACAAAAATGAACAAAATATTACCTTGAGTACTAATTTTTCGAAAAGCACATGAGCATGTGCAACAATCCATAGGTCCATAGACAACTGGAAATTAGAATTTCATATATACAAAATTATTATACTTATTATTATTACCATACCAATTTAATGAGATATATAATATTACTATATAGAATATAAGTAGCTCAACTTTCAAAGTATAAAATGATATCGTATGTAAATTTAGCCTTACAAGTTATAGATTGGATTAATTATTTCGTTTTTAAAAAACAGTTGAACGACTTTACATTTGCTATGCGCGAGACTTGTATGTTTCAGTTACTAATAATAAGAGAATAAGATCTGGTTTAATCGATCATTCGACTGATGAAAAAGGACAAGCACATAGAAACATAAGGTCAACAACAACTTCATAGTAGACGTTCTATGGCTTAAATTGTCAACTTGTTAGATGACGGTCATTGTAGATGACAATGAGGAAATTACGAGACTATAATGAACCCAATATACTCAAAAAGAACTGAGCTGAAATTAAACTATTATTCGGCTGATTTAATAAAAATAAATTTGCCGGGATAACAAACAATGTAAGTGAAATCAGTGAAACATTATTGAGTCGCGGTTCTAAGATTATAATAATCGAAAGAAAAGAATGTTAAAATATTATTAAGTCAAATTCAAAGGATTTCAACAATCAGTTTCCTAAAAATACACAAAAAGAAAATCGGGATAAATTAGTGACTCTTAATTAACGATGCATGGCGATTTAGTACATATATTTATGTTCACTAGTGACTGGCTTCAAGATGGATTTCCTGGAGATCTGGTGAGAAACCGGGACCGATGGAGTCCAATCCGTGTCTGTTGTGAGGTGGTTACTCACTGAAGACAATGGTGGAAAGTCGCGCAACACCGTGGATTGGTTGAATAAAGAGCATGTTTTTTTAAATGCAAATAACACGGGTGGTTCTTGAGAAGAAAAAGATACACAAAAAAAATTTTAAGGAATATCTGCCATGAAATGAAGTGATATTTGAGACAAAAGTTAGGTATGGAATTTTTTAAAAATATCCTGACTTCATTTAAACGAATATAAGTATCTCGGTAAAAAATTAAACCACAAAAAATAAATTCAAACTACACCACTTAATTAGAAATTGAAAAAACAACTAACGCGTTGAGCAATTTGTACCAATACTAATTTTATGCTACGCAATTTCGTTAATGTTATTTGTATTGATGGAAATCTTTCATGGAATTGTCGATTGACTTCACGCTTACGTTCATTCGGTCGAATATATCCCAAAACACTAGTCTGTAATGGTATAAGTAAATTAAAAGACAGTAAATAAATCATAATGATAGCAGTATAGTTTGGTGGAACATATTACGTTGAGTTTGATAAATCAAGAGGAATCATAAGCCACCAGAGACGATGTTTTCTGTATGAAAAGATGAATAATTCTTTACAATGGTAAAATTGACCAGGAGTGATTTCATACGCTTGTTATGAAAGTTTAGTATGATGTTGATTCAATCAATGGATCAGTGTGAAGTGATTCACCGTTAAAATGAGACCAAACAAAGAACACAGAAATCATCAATTGAGATGGTTGAGACATGTATTACACATGACCACCCACTGCTTACCAAGACGTGCGATGTTTGCTGTAAGAAAGTTAGGGGCGGCCAAACGAAGACGTGACATCAGTCCGTGAAGTCGCTAACTATCGGATTGAATTATGATGGTAGGTGCAGACTAAGTGTTTGGAGTTCGCACAATAACTATGAAAGATATTGTTGACGTTGGGTGAAATGACTCATAATCGGTCTTTCACTTTTGTTCTACAAATCTTTTTTCTTACATCGTAAAGCCTATGCTAAGTGTTTTTCAGTACCACTGATATGGTTACTAGTTTTACTATTTTGGCATTTATCATGATAATTTCATCTTACTGTTTTGCTTCATATGGCGTGGGAATTTGAACCGATGCGTAAATGTACCGCAGGTCCTACGTTGCTTGAAACTGGCTTAATCCAAATGGAGAGCATTGTTCACCAACATAGCTGTTGACAAACAGTGAATATCTTACAAAAGTATAACTGCTCAATCTTTGGAAATGAGAAACAGTTACTCCGTTCTGTTGAAAACCTAGATACAGGGTTTTCTATTGACTACATCTAACCAGTAAGAGAATGAAGAACGTTTGGTAGTGATCTCAACTAGGCTGTACTAGTTAGAATGCTTCCCATAATTCGCAGTTCAGTCAAAAATTTTGTATAAGAAATTATAGTCCCATTAAATAAAGTAAAAAAATGTTAGGTCGGAAAAACGTGTAATTAATTATAACATTTCCTAGAGGTTTTATTTTTTCCTTGCACTTAACAAAGATGTTCCCATAAAAGTGAAAGGTAAACAGATATTTAAACCAGATTGATCAGTGTATAGAGTCAACTTAAAAGAGTCGATAAACTTTGATATCAATACTGCCACAGTCTCAGATCAAATGTGAGGTTCAATCAGACATAAAGTATTGGGTAGGATCAATTGTAGCTTAAATTGGTTTATTTTTTCTAATTTAATTTACCATTTATTACAATTGAATTGCATCAATCCACTCAGTCACGTAAGCATCAGTAACAAAATAGCTACATAAAAATGATAGACGACCAATTGTACGAATAATTTAAACATCTCACCAAATAGTTCGGAAGTTTTAATACACGTTTCCCTGTTGAAACTAATAATTCCGGATCATCCAAAAGAAATGGGTTATAACTTATCAATGGATCTGGATAACCTAAAGCTATAGATGACAATAAGGATAAATTATTACCAAAAACGTTACAATTTGTACTGCTTGAACTAGGATTGCGTTGTCTATTAAATGACGTCGTAGAATGATGCCAATGTGTATTAGACGAAGGGATTACTGTAGAATTACTCAAGAAGCTACGTCGAGAATAATTCGAGTTAGGTATAGCAGAAGCTATGAAAAAAGAGAAAATTAAAATTTGTTTAGTCAAAATAAGCACATAGAACTAATTATTTCCACGAAAAAAATGAAATAAATCAACCCTGAGTTCATTTAGCTTACAATTTACACTTATAATTAACAAAAATAGTACTTCCGTGTTTAATGAAAACATAATTGACAGATACATACGCACAAGATTAATAAACATGAATAACAATGTAATCTAATATGAAAAACGTTAAAGGAAAAAAGTAGACAACTACTGAATTTCATCTTAGTGGTCCTTGATAACCCATCCGCTATAAGATCTGAAAGCCATGCATTGAATTTCTGATTGAGTAGTAAATGCGTAATTTTGAGTCTTTTAAAACTAGGGTAAGACAGGTCATCCAGTACTCCTGGGTTTTCATTGGTTCCCCAAGCGATGTCGATCCGTGAAAAAAGAACATCCGCATAAATAGTATTATTATTTGGCGACTTCAGAAAGCTTGAATCTAGACAATCACTGGTCAAGATGTATTTCTGGTGTTGAGTATACTATTGATCGGTTGAAATGTCTTCAAGAGGCCAACTGATATGAGTCAGAGATACCGAATGATGAAGACTACATGTTGAAGTATGAAACAGAGATCCATGGAGTCCTCTGTAATATTTTACTCAACACTAAAAGAATATCCGAATAATATTAAAATACACCAGACACTGCAAACCTGATCAAAAAAGTTGGATTAAAATTCAGAGATAGACATAATGCTGTCGGTTACCAGGTTAATGACTTCCTAAATATGTTACCTACAAGATTGTATCTTACGAAATAATTCCCACATATTAAACTTTTTAAAGAGATTTTTCATTTACATAAACAATATCTCAAACATGATTATCAAATGTTTAGTCATCTAACACGTTGCTTTTAGGATGATAAAATAACTTACCAAGTATAAATTCGTATACTCAACTTTGACGCCTGGTGATATTATCCGGTTACCCAAACTAAAATGGAAGGGAACTCTAGTCTGCGACATGGTAGTTGAAACTCACTCGTCCTAATGGCTAAGCCACTGCTTCGCCGATACAAAATTATCCAAGTTCAGCTTGGTAACCAGTTATATGGTAGTTGTTAATAACTGTAAAAACAATTTGCTGAATTATATGGTCTAATGAAAATGTAAGGACCATATCAAAATTCAGAGCTTCCAGGAAGTTGAAAATGTACTTGTCAATCATTATATATAGCAGAATAACATAAATTAATGAGCATCTACCAAAATCTAACTTTAGGCAACATATGAATTAACAACTAGATGGTAATCATTTCTAATAAACTAATGGTTTCACTATCTCACTAAAATGATTTTATATCATTCCAAATTTCATATCACTAATTTGTTGTAAACTAAAAACAAATCTCGTTAAGAACTTAGTGTGTAAACTCAGGAAATACAATTGACCTCCATCAAATGTTATATGCATAATGGTCACGAAGCAATAAAATTGACTGATATGATATGTATAAATAAATACTAAACAGTACATCGAAATAAGCGCATATATAGACAGAAAACAACATGCACATTTTAAATTGTGTTTGAGAGTGTTGATGTATGCACTACAAATTTTAATTCTAACTAAAATTATCAATGATGTTAAAAATTAGTAATCAAGTGAAATGCATTAATAAACGTACACATTTGATGTTAAAACAAAAGAACAGTAAACAACTAAAGTACACTACACCATAATCAAAAGATGTAATAATGAATAATAACGATTACAAAACCTGGATCATGAATTTCCGTTGACCACTTTAAATAATACTAAGGTGATGTGTTAATAGTTAGTAAATGATATAACAATTAATCTGAAAGAAGTCAATGTTGAGATTTTATCTAATTTACTATTAAATAAATCGAATTACAGTGATTAAAAGTTGATGAGACTCACTTAAACATGTTGATGAGCAATAAAGTAAAAAACAAAGTGTTGACTATAGGTCACCTGTCCATTACAACTAAACATTCAACACTAGCTAACTCATGTACCATTACTACAACTGCAAAAAGTGAGGGGAAAAATCGCAAACCAAAATCCTAGAGATTTGTAATAAGATTAAAATTCAACCAGAACTAGGAAAATTCTTTTTATATAAAAAAGACAAAAAACGATGCGGAAAACGTTTATTATTATTATTATTAATAATATTATTATTATTATGCACTGATTGTTAAACGACCTATTCTCACCTTCGTGAAAATGAGTAAACGAATCACAATTCGATCTGAACCCTGAATTTAGTAGAATATCGATTGGATGCCCAACTTTTACAGTATTCTTTGGCAATTGGCAATTTGGTTGAATGAAATGAGCATATGAAATAGTCTGAGAACATAGTAAACAAAAAAAACACGACAATACAGATTCTGAAGTTTTGCATTAAAATAACGACTAATGAAGGTAGCGACAATAATGTGTTAACTTATCAAAATGCACAGAACATTGGCCAAACCACAGGTACGCTAAAGGATAGGATGAATAATAAAGTGGTTTTCGAGAAGAAATATGATAAATTAATTTTGTATTGTTTGTTTGAATTTTCCCAATGATGTTTAGGACTGCATTTGGTCAGCCTTTTATTGGCATATGTGCATTCTGTGTGGATTGCCTCGATATTGCCTTAAGTCACAAGCATTATAAGCAAAAATAAATTTAAATTTCAGCCCATTGCACAAGTTAGTGGCTATCAGGACTCAGTAACCAGGTGAATAATTTGCTGTTTAAAGCGAACGGTACTTGGGTTTGAGTCCCGAATTGAATATCAACTATGGGATACAAGTACGTCCAGTTGACGAGTCCCAAATAGAACGAAACGCACGTCCTGGATTCCGCCGCTAGCCACCATCCACCTTTGCGTATAAAGAATATTATATTTAACTAAGAATTTCAGTAAGTGTGCTAGTGAATCCAAGGTAATATTATTAGATCACTAACTGATGAAAAGAATAACTTAAGCCCAACAATTTAAAGTGATTCGGTCGGATAGGGTTAATAACTGGAAATGTCAAACTTTCAAAACTTTTCTTTGAAGATTTGGCATTGTTAGAAGCATTTAATAGATCATTTAAAAATGTCGTTACATGACCTGAAAATGTTGAGAATGCTTCGACCAAAGTGCTTTGTAAAAATTTTAAAGGGTTCTTGCATTATCCTGGTGGATAATTACCCACATTTTTATTAATTTTAGAATGTTTTCTAGAGGCTTCGAGAACCTTAAAATAACGCATAACTATGAAAACCGTTGTGTTTCTGTAAATGAACGAACCGTCGAAGTAAAGCTTCTTTTATACTCCCCCACTTTTTACTGCTCGAGGATCACGAGTAAATTTCTGGGGACTAGAAAGCGGTTAGGAAGTCAGTATCTAAGTATCCAAGCGTAATATATGTCAAGTATAAATGTCTTCCATTTATTAAAAACCGGTTTATGGTACGTAAGAATTTCCTAACTATGGGCTTTCGTTTAACACACTAACTGTTGCTGTGTTTTTTACTATCTCAAAAATACACAAACCTATTACTTGGTTTTTTATCATGAATATCTGGATTATGTACGTGATGACATTTATTAAGTATAGTGTGTTGTAATCTTGTATTTTATGTATATGATTATGACAGCATTTCAAATCTGGATAAAACAGAATAATGCAGGAAATTATAATGGTCTTTTTTGCTGCTTTGATTAGTAGATTAAGAACTATGAGAATTTCACGTGAACTACATCAATATTACACATATATATATAGTAACTGTGTTATCCGACTACCCATATTTAGCGAAGATACAAGCACAAAATCCATGACATTTATCCAAAATGAATTGTAAAATAAAATCTGAATAATCATTAATAATAAGTAATTCAATGGAGACTCATGATATCTGCAAAACTAATCAAATCATTAGGCACTGCCAAACCGATTTTGATTTCATGTGTGTGCAATGAATGGTCACTGAGAAGTGACTAAAATCGTGTTTGTTTAATCCTCAGTGCTGGTCAAATTCGACCGACCAAGTTGCAACATAACTACCAGTCTGAGTAAAGTGACTAATGAGTGTAAGTACCTGACTCCTACAGGAATTTAATTGCTCCATGAATAGTTCCGTGTTAACATCTCAGATTGTGAATCTGGATGGTCAAGGTTCGAACCTACCAGGGAGCATCACTTACTTTAAGACTGCAAATACTACATTTTGACGAGTGATGAGTAACAGGAAACTTAGGTGCAAAGTTTCCTGACGACTACCTAGAACCATATAACATTCCATATATTTATGTGTGTAGTGAAGAAAAATCCTAAACTAGTAACAAAACAGTAACCATCTAGTGTTTGCAAGTTGTCAATGATTTTCTAATTGACGTCAATCCCCGATGAAAATCACAATTCAAATTCTATAGCCATTAATCCAGATTAAAAAAACTGTATATACGTGTACGATAGGTATTCATTTCATTTAAAACATAGGTAAAATAGGTTATTATATAAGATCGATGTACAAGTATTCTTACATATCTATGTATATGTAATGGTCATGAAATAACATCAAATGATATTTTACACTTCACTGACAAGTACATGTGATTGTTGATCAAATCTACCTAGGAATCTCCAGTCTGTATACTGCGGGGATAATACGTAAGTTATGCTTGTTTTTTACAATCAGCAACAATACGCAACCCTAACATAAGGATAATTTATATCCCCATGGAAGTATAGGCAAGGTCAATGTCCATTCATATATAAAACGCCACAGTTGAGGGATTTGTGTTCCAAAGAACTATCTATAAAGATGATATACTTTATAATTGACCTGAATTTTATATACTTAGTAATTTCACCACAAGAGATTGCTGCTTAATAAATAGTTACAACTGAATGACAAAAACCTTTTGATTTGTTTACTTTCAGAGACTAAGTTTAACATCTGTATAGTTAATCAAGTAGAACACACAATTAAGCTATAAATTAAGAAGCAAAACTTTTGTCAATCTCACTGGTACCATACGCTAATAAATACCAATCGAACTCCTACTATTCACTCTTAGTTTGTAGGTCATCACAAGAATAGTTAGTGCAACCTATAGAGACCAGAATTAAACCTATAAAGATAAATTACCATCTCTGTACAGTTTCCTAGTTAATTAATAACGATAATATAATCTAGTATATGTTCGATCTAGATTGACTAGAATCATATAACACATTTATACGTTTATTTCTTTACCTCACCATTAACAGGTCGAAACGAGCTAAGACTTAACACATTATGAACAAAATTGGATTGAGGGTTAATATCTTTAACATGTGTAACACCGGTGGATATAGAAGTCTGTGGTAGGCGGGCTGAACTTGCGGGAGACTGAAACTGTTGCACACCTGAAGAAAGTTTGTGGGAACTGGGAGGAAGGATATGACGACGTCCAACTCTAAATATAAAAAAACCATACATAAAGTGTTTATCAAATGATTAAGTATGAAAATGTCAAATGCTACCGATAGAACAAAACAATATAGAGGTGAGAACAAATATTTCCAAGAAAATCTAACCGCGCTATAATTATTCTTTAAGCTTCCCTGTCACTGTTCATGGATCGATGAAACAATTAATAATGATGCTATTTCTTTTCCAAGTTCCCCAAGAAAAGACGTGTTTATCATAATCCCAACTCATTGCATCATGGCGACATCAACAGCTGTTTCTTCATCAAAGTAAGCAAAGTAAACAAAATAATTTGGGATTATTACATAGGAAACCTATTCTCTAATCTAACTATCAATATTAACAGTTGTTTGAATGAATTTTATTCAACACTAATTGACTAAACCGTCTACTAAGATAGATAATCTGTTTAAAAAACGCATAGCATCAGCAAAGACTACGAAAGCTCACTGCATCTTAGGAACAAATAGGTAATAAAGTCAGACTTAAATACTGATGTAGGTTCAGATCTGTGTGAAATTACGCGTGTTCTAAGCGTTATTGGTACGCATAGAAGCGCAGGAGATAAATTAGACACTACATTTTCAGTTTCGACGAGACATTTGGTATCACATATGTTACATTAATATCCCAAATTACTTAGTTTAATGGCCACACAAAGGGCTTGGTTAGGACTATAAGACTGAAGAACATAAGAGCAGCTACCTAAAACCTTGAGGTCTTCACTATCTTTCTAGACGACATCAACATATATTTTAACAGTTCTTTAAAAAGTATACATTGATGATATAGTTTAGAAAGACAATGTAAGGTTCACAATACCAAAACACAAAGCTCAGAAAGCATATCTTTAATATCCACTGCCTAAGCTACCAATCCTCTCTATCATCTCATGTATCAACAAATCGGTTGACTAATCGTAAAACGTTTTTAAAACTTTGTAAGAAATAACTAAAGTTAGTCAACTGAATTTAAGAAGTTTTACCTGAAGTGAGATCCTGTTGTTTTGCGATGATATGGTAAAACTGAAAACAAAGTAACTGGTTTCCCACTAGCACCTAGGGGGCTTAATGCCATTCTAAAACAAAATTAAAAGCAAACAAATAAATTTGGATACCACATTCTACTTTATCTATATAAAACAAATAACGGAGTTGTTAATTAAAATAACGATAAATAATAAGTTGAGTGAAATTTTATGATATCGTTGGTAAATAAATGATACAACTAAAAAAAATCAAAATAGTCAATATGTAGGTACGAAACAAGTCTTTTTTATAACATTAGTATGCATACATACGTCTTCACTGTTACAAGTCAAATGATGACAAAATAAGTTGGGACTACTGAAAAATACAAGTTCAGATGTTGCTTAAGTGTAGTATAAGTTTCTTTGAACTTTCAGATACTCTTTTCTTACCAGTCCAAAATAGTATAGAATTCTGGGAAATGACCACCTATCGATAGCATAAGATACCAAGTTCATTTATTACTCGTAAATAATTTAACTTATTATATGTCCTTCGTACACTAAACTACTCATAATTACATTTATTGATGAATAGAAACTAAACAAAGAAAATATTCGTGATACAACTACTATGGTTGCATACAGATATAATTATATTTAAAGATAATAGTCAGAATGAATCGACACAATAGTATTACAAGATATTAGAACGATAAACATCTGAGTATCTACTCATCAAAAAACAAAAATACATTTTGATTGGAACGATTCCAATTTATATGTATAAACACGCTAAAAAGAGAAGACAAACCTACTATGTATATCGAAATAGATTGTTGCATAAGTTACATGTGAAAAAAAATAGGACAACTGGATAGAAAATGGTCATTCTTTAAGCATAAAATCTTAGCTAATATACAATAATATCAAATAAATGGGCCTGTTTTTTTTTCATTAAATTGTTAAAATTATTTTACTGTAAGAAAAAAATATTCTGTTCAACAAGAAGCGACAAAGTGATATGACGTAACAACACTGAGGCATAATACAAATGGTCCACTTGTAGTATCTCTGTCGACATAAGTAGTATGCAACACCAGTCGAAAGTTGAATATCTGACAGCAGAAGGCTAAGAAGATCGAACTGAAGAAAATAGAAAAGGAGATAGAAAAGAATTGTGAATTGGAAGAATCAGATAGAATGTAAAGGATAAACGATGGGAATTTGCAAATGAAGTATTCAGTGTATGGTTCTCATATTTCAGCAAGATGTTCTATGATTTCGTATTAAACAATAAACTGGTTATCCCCACTTGAGTTATTGTTCACGAAACACTAACACGTAAAAATGAATTGCACCAATTGTATTTTTAAAAGGAATTTACTAAACCCCTATTCACTCAGCTTAAATTACGGGTTAGTCACATGAAATAAGCCTGCATGACACTAATTTTTCAAATTGATTCACGTGTGAACACACAAAAATGTCAGGAAAAAAGGAAATTATTTTCTTCGAATAAGGATGAATAAAAGTGTCATTAATTGTGAACATTTAAAACGCAAACTACCGAACTACGGGAATTTAAAAAAAGTACAGATGTATTAAAAATATGAATGAAATGAGGAATAACTAAATGAAATGAATAACACATCCAATATCGATAAAAGTAAAAGAAATTAGATCTATGAAAGAGAGACTAATTTATTTAATCATGTTAGTTATGATTAAACATTGATTTCTATCATATACAGAATGAAAAAGGATTTCGACAAAATAACATGAATTTATCTAATTTCACTACAACTTTGTCAGTTTTTTACAAACTCTAGGATTTTAAGATCAAAGTTATGAATAAAGTTAACAACATAGCTGAAGTTGGTTCAAAGTGGTGCGGTGAATGCAATAGCTAAATACAGATTTATGGTGATTGAAAATAACATGAGTTGAGGTTACTTAGTTAAAAACAGAATTACGAATTAAAAAGAATTGGAGATGCATGTAACCTTAGAAACGAGAACCTAACGAAACAAAAGCTATTTATGTCATTCTGCTCAAATCATTGTTTTTGTGCTCATCAAATTGTCGATCACGTTTTTCACCTTTTTCAAACTTACCACTACTAACTAGCATAAGATTAAGATAGGGATTTCTTAACCATACGTTCTTTAAAATTTACGTGTTTTCAGAAGTGCTTAGCCATAAACCTACACAGCATCGAATGCGAGACATTCACATCTTGCGGTGACTGAGTCAAAATTTTCAATTTAGTTTAAATTGTAAGCTAGGATTAATCAGTGAGTGAAGACATACACATTCGGACACATTACATATACGGAACTACCTTGATGTTGTATAAGATACTTCTGTTTACTATATGTAGAAGTTATTCACAAAGTTAAATATAACCAGAATTTAATGCATATGAATAATATAATTCATACACCCTGAACACAAAAAGGTTGTATGGAGCTATGGTTTAGTGACCCAAGTATTTGGAATTTAAAATACTGGATTACAAGTTCAAAAACTAAGTCCCTTTTCTGCTTGATAGATAGTAAACATCATATCAAACTAGTGGAGGGACTGTCGGTTTTATAACAAGTTCCTAATAGTTTGATAGGTAACCCAGGTTTATATCACCTCTATGTAGCAGAAGCCATAAAGCTCAACTTCAATAAACTTGACATTTGTACTTAGAAAGATATTTTCAGTATTTCAATTTGCACTAACTCAGTAAAACTTGCTGTCAACTATACATATATACCAGAAGTAAAGCTTTTTTCATGCTTCCCACTTTTTGCCTTGTGTTCAGGGTTCAAATGCAAACCTATGGAGGATTGCGAAGTAATTAGAAAGTCAGCGTCAAGCATTCAAGTACCAAATATATCAAAGATAACTCACACATTGCATGTATCGAATTCTCAAAAAACCATATAAATTAGTTAACATACGGCCCGTTTTCATTACATATAACAATAAGTACGAAAAATGTAATTGAAAAAAAGCTATCTGTATACAAGTCACATGTTATATACATTTGATTAATAGCAAACAAACTTTTTGTCGCTCTTTAGTTTTTTATTTGATCAACATTGTTTTTAGCCCGTAAATAGTCATAATTGCGATTGAAAAACATGATAAATGTGAGAAATGATATAAACTAGGTCAAAATGACAAAAAATCCTAAAGTGTTAGTATATTTGATATGTGGTTAGCAGTGGAACACATAACATGTGTTTCGTTTGTTTTGGACACATTAGTTGACTATACCAGGATTCCGGTATTACTTCCAATATTAAAACTCGAGTACGGTACCTTTCGCCTCAACCAGATATGGAGATGTTATTAAATTTTTAACTTCCCGTTGTTGAAATTCGGGACTGCAATTGATCAATGTTTGTTGCCACATGTACACGCTTAGCAGGTTGCCTCAATGGTTCATTGGATAACACGTTAGGCGTTGCAGATGAAAGGTATTTGGTTTGAGTCTCAATGTGAACTTTAATACTGTGGATGTACATCTGTGTGAGCAGTCCAAAATATAAAAAATCCACAATTTAGATATCACTGTTAGCAACACATTAAATTATACTAGGACTTGTGGCACAAAGCTATACCAAGACAATCCGCTCAGGATGGACATACGGGAATAACCAATCGAACATTTAATACCAACTACGGGAAACAAAAATTCTTTGCCAATTCTAAAGTATTATAACCTTGGCAATAGTGATAATAAATTTAATGAAACCACCTGTCTGCATTTAACTAGACGCATGTAACTTGAGCTGTAGGTCAGCAGTTCATAACTATAAATCCTACTTCGATACAACTAAAAGTATAAGATACTGACATGAAACTAACTTGCATCAATTCTTAGTTTAACAACATCGAATGGAGTAGCTGAGTAATAGTTGATCACTTCACTCAAAAGTTTTGTCAATTCTGACGCATTATGAGCTTAACATAAAGCCTTATTTAGAATTAATCACACACGCCACTTACATTCCTAATAATTTTTAAACTGCCTATCAAAGGGAGAGTGATACAAAGTTGTTTTTCTTTTCTTAAGTTACAGCTCTGAAATATACCTTTCAAAAGCAGACGTGTATATTGCAAGTAATTGACTATACGGTGCTTTCAATCAGCTAGTCAAAAAGTCACTACTTGTACATCTGGTGATAAACTAACCGCACGCCAAGACAGCTTACAAAAAGTGTAACTGTTTAGCGAAGTGAAAACTACCCTCAAATGACAGACATAACATACGATAATATTGAGTAAATTTATTACAATACACATCAATTAGAGTCGCAAAGGTTTCTTAGTTATATGGATTTATCGAAGTATTTCTACACTATATATAGCCTGATAGATGAAATCCATAATACGTTAGTATAATAGGTCTGTAAAAGAAACCTGATATATTCTACTTTCTATTCCATAATAATCCGTGATAGAGTCACAGACGATTGTATAAGACATACCAGGGTTGTTATCAACAATTCATTATACAAAAGGAGAGAGGGAAGCGTTGGTGACGTCAAATACTCAAATACAAGAAATAAGGAAAGAAATCAGTCTTAGGATTCTCTTATCAATTTAAAGTGATTTTCGTCTAATTAACCTTCAAAGCATTTTCATTATATTAATTTTTTCATGGTGAATTCTGTTTATTAACTTTTACAGTGTTTTCCCCTGTAGCGATTATTCAGTATACAGTTAATTATTCAATCCAACATGCATTTTTCCTTGTATTGATTAATTTATTGTAATTTTGTGTTTAGTGATGATTATTCAGTTTGGCAAACCATTAAAATTAATAATCGCTTAATAGATATATCATTGAATAACTTGAATGTAAATTAATTAGTCTCGAAGATTCGATCGACATAGCTCCTATACAAACTGAACTCACTCCAGTTAGAGGGAAAGGAAGAACAGGATAGAATTAGTTTCTTTTACCGTATACAGGTCGGAGTTGAATATTATCTAGCCTAACACATGAAAGTATCAAAAAGATACTGGAAAACCATACACACTAATCTTTATCAAAACCAGAAAAGCCAAGAAGGAAAATAAATTAAAATCGATTGAACGAATCAATATACAGTACAACGAAGAACATGTTCATCACTTCATGACAAGTGAACCTTAACACAATAAATATCAGCAAAACGAAAAGCATGACCACTTCTAATGTATTCCTTGAGTTTTGTCAACTATTTATTTTCTGACTGGAATACTTAATAACTACAAAGAAAATAGTATAAACACTGAAGAATTTGAAAACCTGAAACGAAATGAGTGAAATCGCACGAATCTAATATAGTCTTATTAACATACCAGTCGTAGTTAGTACTGATTAGCACAAGAACCGAGAAGCCTGGTGGTCGAAGCGTGCTAATGAGTTGGAAGTAACAGCTGCATCTAGTAATTCCCGGAAGCTCTTCCAATTCATCCAAGCCACTGGCAGTAAGAAGTCTGGTGTGAGTGAAACAATCTGTGAAGATGATGGGATGCCAATCATTAACACCCATCGACGTCTTGGACGATAAGCAGAATTCTTTGAAGGGCAATTCAACTGGCCTGCTGCTCCGGCAACATCGGTCACTGTCCTGCTCTCCATGGTCGGTGACGACTGATCCACCAAATGAGGCGGAAGTCCGCAAGGAACTTCAACTCCTGAAGCGCTACAAATCGCCGGGCTCTTTTAAAAGATGGTGGTGACTTTCTGGCTAAGGAACTGACTGTTGTTTACAAAGGTCTGGGAAATAAAGAGCGTACCAACGTCATGGAATAAGTCAATAGCTGTCCTTATCTTTAAAAAGAGTTCATGTCGTTCCTGTAACAACTATCGGGGGATAAGTCTACTTCCGATTGCGTACAAGCTATTGGCTTCCGTCATACTTCGTAGGTTGTTCAAAACCCGAGAGAGATTGACTCCCGAGGAGCAGGCTGGGTTCCGTTCTGGTCGAGGATGTACTGAAACCCTCCACCAAATGTTAGAACACCGCCATACTTACCAAAGGCCAACAATCGTAGTGTTTCTTGACATCAGGGCTGTCTCCGATTCGTTGGACAGGACTGTTCTCTGAGATTGTCTATCGAAAAAGGGTGTGCCTGAGAAGTTTATTAACATCTTAAAGGCCCCATATACAAACACATCAGGTACAGTGAGGGCATACAACCACCTTTCTCCATTGTTCCATTCAATCAGTGAGGTTAGACAGGGTTGCCCAGTCTCACCAGTCCTCTTCAATTTTGCCATCGACGACATTCTGGAAACAGCTCTGATGGATGTAAGTAATGGCAGTGTGGATCTGTTGCCTGGAGAAAGACTTCTCGACCTTGAGTACGCGGATGATATTGTCTTACTATGCGATAATGCCCAAGCCATGCAATCCGCACTTAATCAGTTGGCAATCAATGTCCGTAGGTACGGTATGTGCTTTGCACCTTCGAAGTGCAAAGTACTTCTACAAGACTGGCAGGATTCTAATCCTGTACTCACACTGGATGGTGAGCAGATAGAAGTAGTCAAGAAGTTCGTGTATCTAGGTAGCTGCATAAGTGAGTGATAAGATCAATTCACGTATAGTGAAAGCCAGAGCGGCTTGTGCCAATCTGGGCCATCTTTGGCGCCTTCGTGATGTTAGTCTGACTGTAAAAGGTCGGATCTACAACGCGTCGATGAGAGCAGTTTTGCTCTATGCTTGTGAAACCTGGCCTCTCCGAGTTGAGGACGTGAGACGACTCTCTGTGTTCGATCATCGTTGTCTCCGAAGGATCGCTAACATTCAGTGGCAACACCACGTTAGTAATGCAGAGGTTCAGTATAGTAAGTTCAGGCACGGCGTCGATAATTCAATTAATGTCACTATATTGAAACATCAACTTCGGTAGTTTGAACATGTCCTACGAATGTCGTCTCAGAGAATTCCACATCGTGCATTATTTGTCGACGCTGGGACTGGTTGGAAAAAGCGGAGGTGGTCAGTGTATAACATGATGTCGTGGTATGAAAGATGTACAGGACTGGCTTCTGTTGGACCTTCACGACTCCTTGGTTGGGGTACTAGAGATGGTGCAACATAGTGGATACAGGCGTTATCAGACACAGTTCAGAATAAAAGCTTGTGACGATCCTACTGTAACTTAGTTTTGTTTTCTTCATAGAAGTGAACGTAACTTCTTTAACTGAAAGGATTCTTTCTGGTTGTATTTTTCCTAACTGGATTGCCTCTACCACTTTTATTATTATCATTATTATTATTATTATTATTATTATTATTATTATTATTATTATTATTATTATTATTATTATTATTATTACACGCTCATACACTAATCTCTGTCCGTTGTTCTTTTTATTATACGCACTTTACATTCTCTATCTCTTAACGACCTTATTGTTGTTATGTGGCGCATATGTATCTGGTGTTCCCTTATACCAATGTTTATGTGTTCAGACAAATAAATAAATATTAACATACCGTTTGGAAATTATGGATAACGCATTAGTTTGCATTGATTTCGGATTCATTTTACACAGTCCTTTTATGTCTTCCAAACTGATATTACCAGATTCATGAGATAGTTTAATTTTAAAATTAGTCTTAGGTTGCAATTCAGTGATTCGATTAGATGAATCAGTAGCTAAATAAGAATATTAGAAAAAATAATAATAAAGCTGTGAAATAGGGCTAATTCTTTTATATGAAATAACGTTAGGTCAAGTAATTTAGGAATACTGGTTTGAGAAAATTGAAAATGTCATGGTTAATAAATTCCCAAAATAAAGTTTGTAAGCATTCAACACTGATGTTGATCTTATTAATTTTAATGAACGCACCGAATCCTATTTGGATATGCCGTATTGTACATCTCTTATGGCAATTAGTCAGATTGGATCAAATACACATCGGCAGCGACTCAAGTATACCTTCGTTCTCTACTTCTGATTTAATTGCCTTAATATTCTATGTTTCAGTAGAGGTTTCGGACGGTAGCGTTGAATAACATTGCGCATACGTGACACCTTCAGTGGTTTTCATTGCCAGTTAATGTTGATTACGACTGAACGAATAACCATGAGACACAGCTTTAAGGTTTTGGGATGAGTATGATACCTATGGGTATATTTCGCTAACATCACAAGTGACGCAGGTTGGCAAACGATAATCGAGTTTTCTGAATCCGTGACGAGATTTCGTCAGACAACAGACCATCAGCACTGATGAGACTCCCACGATAAGTGAAACGGTCGATACGTTCAACTACTTCCCTCCCTATCATTAATTTAGGCGCTAACGCGGGTCAATCCTGAAGCAACACTTTGCATTTGGAGGGATAGAGTAGCATCCTGAACATGCTGGTATTCTTGCCTAAAATGGTCAAGTATAACTATATCTTTTGCGTATTTCAAGTCAACAAGTGAATCTCCTGGTAAATCAACCCCAAAATTCAGACGATAAATGTTTTCTCTAAACGCACGTATATGACACAATTAGGTAAAAATGGGGAATGTGAACAGCACTGACGAACACCATTTGAAGCAACCAATTCTGACAACAGTTCGCCATAAGCTCTGATTCGACCAGTAGTGTTCGAGTAGAGAGCCTGTACAAAGTTGATGTACTTCTTTGGTACACTTTTCAATGATAGACTGCCACAGAACCTCCCAATCAACAGGGTCGAACCTTATATTAACGTCGAGAAATACAAATACTGTCAGATGTCGAAAAGTATGTTTATATTCCAGAATCTGCTGAAGCATGAATATTTGGTCCATACATTAAAATCCACGTCCGAAATCAGCCTTATTTTCTTGGGTTTGCTATTTATGAGCTCTATTTAGGCATCGAAGTATTATTTAAGCCAATATTTTAGACACTGTATTAGCTAAACTGATTCCTCTGTGATTGTCATAAGGAGATTTTCGCCCTTTCAGAGACCGAAACCAGTCAGATTGGATTATGTTCAGATTTCATATTCTAGCTCAGATTTCAGTTAATCTGACTGCTAAAACTGGACCATCATCCTCTCAGGGGTTAGTCCATAAGGCTCTGATGCCCTCCTTCACTTTAGATCTCCTGTAGCCTTTGCGACCCTACTAAGAGTTGGAGGACATATATCAATTTGCCATTCCTATTGCTCGGAGATAGTGGGTAACTGAAGTATGACTGAAGGCCAGTTGAACCATTCCCTAAACTGTTCTGCTCATAGGTCCAATCTCCATGGTTAAGAGTGAATAATAATTCCATGTTTTTCCGAGATACTTTTACTAACAGACCGATTTTTAATATCGTTTCCTTGATAAATCTGAACAGTTGTCTACTGTTACCTATTGCTGCTACCTTTTTCATTTCTTCTGCTTTCGGTACCCACCATATTTCGTGGGCTTTTCATCGACTTACATTCAAGCTTGTCCTGCTTATGAAAGTAATGGTATATCTGCAATGAACGAGAACACGGGTGGGAACAACCCATTTATTATTACATACGGAATTACAGGATGTCTTCGTAAAATATGAGAACCATACATTAAATGCTTTATTTGCAAATCTTCCATTAATTGTCTTTTACATTCTGTCTGATTTTTCCAATCCACAATTTCTTTCTATCTCCCTTTCTATTTTCTTCAGTTCGATCTCCTTAGCCTTCTGCTGTCAGCTATTCAACTTTTGACTGGTGTTGCATACTAATGTCGACAGACATAAGTAGCATGTACCATATATCTACACCAGCGAGATTACAAGAAATGACAATGGGGACTCCAGGTACGTGAACTAGGTAGTATCATAAACATAAATACACATTAAGATTAATGTCAACCTTCAGTTCCTCATTCAAATACCTAAAATCCGATTATATTGTACAGATAACTTTACGAGAAATTAATTAAAACAAATTGAACATATATTGAAATAAAAAAGCAGTACATAAATCTTTCTCATATAACTAGTAATACTATGTGATATTGACTAGTGTTCTGGTGATGAATTGGGTACAGAGTGATGCCACCTAGAAACCAAGATAAATTCATTATACATTGATTATTGGTTTCATTCACGTGTAAATTTAGAACAAGTTTTAATACCAATATAAATGTTCTTTTGACAAGACAGTATAAAGCTGAATCAATATACCAGATGAAGTCGGTAATCGCTTATACAATACTGACAGTCAAATTAGTATTTACGAGCTTCACAACAAGATAACAGTTTGAAAAATATGATATTAAAAAAACATGTCCCACTCACTGACTGACAGTTTGTTCGAAGATGATTTATCGATGAAGTTTTCTTGTCTGGAATAGAAAATGATTACTTTTTGAAAAATATGTGATACCGACTGGCGAAACTAATAAGAAATATCAGCTAGTTACGATTAACAACACATGGAATATTTACACTTCATTTTAAAAATATATTCAAGCTGAGAGAAAAAATTGCGTTAAACAGAAGTTGGTTGCCCATAAATGAGTTATCTCTATTAGTAAACAGTCGGTATTGAGTTGGGACGTTTTTATGGAGACTTAACGATTTAGTCAAATACTGAAAGATAGCTTCTTAGGATAACAGTTATTTTTGGTACTCACATGCTTCAGTGTTCATGTTAATAAAATGATGTGCTTAGGTGCAGAAAATGTACATGAAAATAAGTGTAATTACAAGTCAACTGAAGCGTAAGAGATTAGGAGATACAGGTTTTATGCGTCACTCGAGTTTCAATCAAAATAATACCTGACTGTCAAGCCTAAATCTTGTCCAACATATCATACTACGAATAAGTTCATCATCTGTTGTTTCTTATGAGGATACCCAGTGAGTCTGTGAAACTAGTACTTAATTTCAATACATCCAGACAAGAGCCGCACTGGTTAACTGGATTATTACAAACTTTTATTTGTCTTACCAATCGATTAAGTGATCGCAATCATGCCTATTTCATAAGCATAGTGACACTAGTTGGAAACCTGAAAGTACAAGTTACCTAGTAATATAGGAGGATAGTTGGGGAGAGTTTGTCATAAATTAGAGAACAGGAACCACTTTATCTGATTTTAACGCCCCATGATCTCTAAACATTAAAATCACCAAAGATTTGGAAACAGGTCAAAACTCACCTTCTAGCATACATAATTCACGACTTATGATATATTTTAGGGAAGTAACAACAGTAGTACCAATGGAACTGCAAGTGTGACTTGGCAGTTTTAATACTCAACTTCTGACTACATAAACACAGATCCATTCTCCGCTCAGTGTATTCTTATCTGGGGAACTAGACAGAATATTATTCGCTTATGTAATAGGAGTAGCTAAAATTTAAGTACGTTAACTTATTATTGATCAATATTTTGCAAAGATTATTAGTTGCACCTACAAGTGATATAGCTCAGTGGTCAAGTACATATATGTGTATTGGTTATTGAGTCACAAGGATTATTTGGGGATTATATATACATTACACCTGTTAAAAAAGAAGCAAAAATGTACCGAAGACCGAGTGGTTGTGAACTGAGGGCCTATAATAATGAACCACAATTCGACGTACTGACTGAACACATATGATAGCCATAAATTGCAATTAATTGAATTAGATTAACGATCACATACACATACACGTGATTACATTCAGTGACAATTAGGTGAATAATTAGTACATTAACTAACAACGAATATACTATTCAGAGAGATTAAAGTGAAAACATAACCAGATAGTTGGGAACAGTTTAAAACATAGTTGAGAAATATGAAGAAAATTAATCTGTATCGAAGAATTAAAAGATTTTATAAATAAAGAAAAGTGGCTAACATACTTTTCACTACCCAGTTGCACATCTGTAACATATAAAGAGGAAACATTTGAAATAGAAACCTTAGAAAATGTTTGAGAGCTATTGCTTTGTAGATGCGTGTCCACGAAACTATTGCATAAAGCATAATTCTGGGCACATGTCACCGAACTTAAGATGTTTTCAGGTACTCCCGAAAACTTGGTTGGTACTGATTCTTCAGATATTTCATGAAATGTATCATTAACTTGCTGCTCATAAGAAGGGTTAACTGGAGAAGTCTTTGTGCCATTTTGTCCTAAAAACAAATAAATAAAAATTTACATACCCTTACCTGTCAACATATGCAACTATTAACTATGAATTGATTAAAAGCAATTTTCATGTAAAAGACAAATACTCGCTATTCAGTTAAAAACCAGTTACAAATCAATTTAACAAGCAAATTATAAAACATCCGTCTACAAATATCTTGTTTATTATAAAAACGTAAAAAACATCCCTTATTAGTTTATCCGTGACCCTGAGGAGCGTATCGCGTTTAGAGTATACAGTGTAGCCCTTTGGAAGAGTTAGGTACTTATTCAAACCAGGACGTCGGTATATACTCTGTTAGTTAGGTAATAGGTTACAACAAAAGTTAGCTGGTTGCAAAATAAATATTTTCCAGTTATTTATCAGTCGCTGAGATCAAAGTTATGCATTTGAGGATCTTACCAATGGTGCTTGAGGAAACTAACACACCCCGTTCGAGAACCTTCAATTCTCGCACACAGCGAGACATGAACGAAATGATACTTTTAAGTCATACCATTAGCATCCACATAGTTCTGTGTCTTGATACATGGTTTACGGAAAAACCAGGCAACCGTTTGGAAACTCGGTGCTGTGGCTAATCACATAGAATGGAATCGTAACTCGGTTGATATATCTCTAAAAGAAGCTTCAAGAGTAACGTAAATACTTACCAGCACTGAAAATGTAGGGGACAGAAGAGTGATAACCAATTCCATTAGGTTTATGTTCATGTCTCCCATCAAGAGAAATATTGGATAGAAAGTTGAGAGCGGCTAATTTATGACGGCTCTTTTTGCTCCTCATACAAAAGAATGCATAAGTTGTTTACTTAACTTAAAAGTCCCAAAAGTAAGAGAATCATTATGTCCCCACAAAACACGGAGTAAAATAATTGATGAGATGGAAGTCCCACAGTCGCCAACCATTGAGAAATAAACCGATTTACTGTATTGTTATTTCGAAACCAAATACTTCTGAAGTGAAGAGACCACTATGTGCCAGGCGACGGCTCAAGATGAACAAACCAGAAAATTCTGTGAAATAATAACAGCATGAATATCAATAAGTGATAAAAATCGAATAACCATTGAAATATTAAGCCCATGAGAAAAAATAAAGAAGCAAATACTATTCGGATAGTCTGAAAAATAAATAACTTCAACAGTATTGCTTCAAGGTGAATCAGCGCAAGTTGAACCAGGAGCTACCATGAAACTTAAATTTGACTAAAAAATCAGTTGTATCAAAACGTCCGTGCCCCCAAATGCCCTGGTATGGCCGAGAGTGGGGTGGGTCCGCCCTTCCTCTCGAAATGCTCTCATATGGCCACGCGTGTATAGCTTCTGCCCTACTCACTGCCTTCTCGCACCATGGATGTTGTTTACGAAATTGAGAGGACGAAAAGCGAATGTTCGGTGCTTTAACCGGGTTGGTGGACATGGAGAGTCCATCTAAGGAAATTGGAAAAACCTCATTCCAAACCAATGGTGCACATGGGCTACAGTAACCTGAGGGAACAAATGGCGTATGAACCAATCGCTGGTCACCTGCTACCATGGAACTGCATCTCCTCACGATGCTCCACTGCCTTGTGGATCAGACCTTCAGGTCGAAGGCTTTGGGTGTGGCCCCCTGAGAAAACCACCTGTTTCGGTATGGGCACCCGGGCAGTATCACAGCCCTCACACAAATCAAGTGAGATTTGTGTGGCGCATATGTATTTGGTGCTTGCTTGTGCCAATATGTGTTAAAATAAAATAAAGCAAAAACTTATCGACATCAGTCGTCTCATTGTACCTGATCACGAGAACTTTATTCAGGTTAAATAGTAACAGTTACGACTTTATGGGCTGAGTAGTTTTGTTTTAATTAAAATGAACCATTTTTTAGAACAACAAAAGTAAAAGCTACAGCTAATCTCACCAGACGAGGGTGTATGACACGATGGTGCTGATTAAATCTGGTCACTCTGGAAAGTAACGCATAAAGCTAGGTACACACAATTCATAGTTCACTTCGATACACTGAAATCTAGCTCGATAGAACTTTATAGAAGTAGTTTGAAAATACTGGGGCGAAAAATACTGATACAAAGTTTATAACTGCTAAACCACTATTGTTTGACAGTACATTCTTCGATTACATAGTCAAAAGACATTAACTTCCTGTATTAGGCTGGGTCAGTAGAATAAAATTTATCACGTATTTTGACTGAGAATTGTAATAAGCTGTTTTATCGTCCCTAATAAACATTTATGTTTAATGGTACACATCACTTGACGAACTTCGATTGGATAAAGCATATGGAAGACCTTGGACAACTTTTTGGCCCGTGAGAATGTTGTCTGCTCATGAAACGATTTGTGAGAAAAGAGTAGTAATCAAAAGTCTTAACATGAAACGAGAACTTAAGTGTATGAAATGGTAGGACTGACGTCCATATACATCACTTTTCCCGAAACTCATGTAAGAAATGACTAGAATCGGGAAATAAATAGTACATTATGACAAACTCATAGGAAGCACTTGCGTTAGGGTGGGACCAACCTCAACTCCGGTTCGTCAGTTACCAGTTAAAAAACGCGCCAGGTATAATACTATATATTAGGTATCACTTTCCTGTACAACCGATCATACCAGAGATGCATGATAATGGCACATGTGAGGTAGTTTATTGTATAATTAACTTTAGACACCGGTTGGTGATGATAGGAGAAATATACCATAGTTCACGTTGTCTTAAGACAACGGATCGTTTCCCCAAGGTTTAGTGACGTGTTTGTGATAGGGATCTACTGTAGCGGTAAATAAATCCTCAAAATAAATAGCTCTGTAAGTTTTCGACATTGGATGCTGACCATATGTTTTAGTGGACTCATCTAGCTGAAGGCGCTCGGTCATGCATCCGCACCAGATCACGTGCTGTAACGCTGTGCTCAACATCTACCGCAATCGCTAGCCAGATTAGATCAGAAAATTCCGATATATTGGTTATCGCCAAATACACTTTTCCGATCTATTCGACTCTGTCTTTTGATTTGTCTTGGTGGGTACGAATTATATTAGGTGTTGTTGGTAAAAACGCTGTCAAACACTGAATATCTGTGCCATCATCATTGGTGAGACCGACGTGATCTGGTACACCTAATTGCAACTGTGAGTCTGCTTCTTTTTGGGATTTTTATATATTATTGCCATATTTTTTTAATTTTTATACATTGTGATATTTTTTCCCCTGTGTCTCAGGATATTTATATATTTTTCCCTCGTATTCCCCTATGACCGAACAGAATCCTAAGGTATTTAAGATTAAGACCATGTCCCCACCCTCGTTCCAACTCATGCCCTTCTGGCATGTTTCTGAACCGTACGAAACGTTAAAGCGTTCTATCTTTAAACGAGGAGACCTAAGCGATCGACAAAGGTTTGATCAACTCTTTAATAACATTGACCTGCAACACGGTTCTGCGACGGACATGTTAAAAGGATGAGAGAGGCTATAGGCCTAAGAACTTTCAACGAAGATCTATTCAAAAAAACTCTTTTTGTCTTAACTTCCCCAACAGGTGCAAGCGGTTCTGGTCTCGTTTCAGAACAACGCCCTAGACGAGCTAGCTGCATCTGCCGATCGTATCTTAGAAATTACGAAGTCTTCTACTACCGAGGTTTTTTCAGTCAAAGAAAAGCCTTAAACGACTCAGAATTACATAACAGAGCTATGTTATACACTTACGCGGTATCTTAATTTTCGAAACGACCGTAAGCGATCACGCACCCCATTTCACGTAAGCGATCGGTCTCTAGACCACGAGAGACGGATAACCGCGACTGGTGCTGGTATCATAACCAGTATGGAAAGTCTTCCAGAAATTACAGAAAACCCTGCAATTTTCCCAACACGAAACCGACTGACTCCAAAAGCAACTCAGGAAACTTACAAGCCGGCACGCGTTAACGGCAACCTTAACCGGCGAACATAGCTGTTTGTTGTACGTCACAGATGTGACAACGAGAGTTCGCTACCTCGTCGACACTGGCGCAGAAGTTAGCGTTCTCCCAGCGAATTCCAACGACCGGCTTCACGAATCAACTCTAAACTTACAGGCGGCAAATGGAAAACCGATCGCCACGTATGGCAAAAAGTACGTTTACCTTAACGTGAGTTTACGCAAACCCATTCATTGGATTTTCGTTGTTGCAGATGTTTCTATGCCAATCATTGGTATGGATCTTCTACAACACCATAATCTAATCATCGACACGCGCAAATGGAGGCTGGTAGACGGAGACACTAATTTATCCGTTTGCGTAACTTCTTTTTCTGGTTGCAGATTATCCCCAGTCACAATTAAGCATACGATAGACCCACTTTATCAACCACTACTCGATAAGTATCCCGGCATTCATCAAACGCAACCGAAATTACTGTGTGTAACCAGCAATGTTACACATCACATCACGACTACAGGACCACCTGTATTCTCTAAAGCACGACGACTAGCCCCTGAAAAGCTAAGGTTAGCGAAAAACGAATTCGATCACATGATAGACTTAGGAGTCATACGACCGTCAAACAGCCCTTATGCATCTTCGTTGCACATGGTCCCTAAAAAGGACATCAACAATTGGCGTCTAACTTGTGACTATCGGCGATTGAATGCAAAAACCATTCCCGATCGTTACCCGTTGCCTCATATTCACGATTTGACAGCCACCTTGAAAGGTACAACTGTTTTTTCGAAAATCGACTTGGTTAAAGCGTATAACCAAATCCCTATGGCTACTAACGACATACCGAAAACAGCTATCATAACTCCTTTCGGACTCTATGAATTTTCGCGAATGTTTTTCGGCCTAAGAAACGTTGCTCAAACATTCCAAAGATTCATAGACGACGTTTTTCGAGGTCTCAACTTCGTACATGCGTATGTTGACGACTGCCTAATCGCAAATCTGGACAGATAATCACATCTCAAGCATCTGGATCTTGTTTTCGATCAACTACGAAAACATAGCATATGTGACGCACCTGCTCATTCTGCTGTTAGGTACATGGTTAATCACAATGGTAAGGGAGGTTGCGACAGGTGTACTGTGCTTGGGAGACGGCTTGAGGAGAAGACGACGTTTCCCATTTGGTGAATATACGTTAAGAACGGACGACAGCTTTCGTCGTCAGACTCAATATATTCACCATCAACGCCGTTCGATTATCGAAACGCTTTCAATTAATATGATCTTAACTTTTCCTTTAGATCGTATACAAATGATGTACCTATGTGTCACCTTTGGGTAGAATTCTCACATAGAAGATTGCTTAACTTGAACTCATGTGCAATTAGGGACATAAATAATTTAATATCTGGTTGCGTGGCAAGTACTCCCTCCGACTTTGAGCGTAAATGCCGTACACTGAACTTCGTATCGGTATGGAAAGCTTCTGAATGTAGGTTATTCCTTCTATATTTAGGCCCAGTGATTCTGCAAAATACATTGTTCCAACCTTGGTATCTTAATTTCCGGCGTTTAGTTTTATCCATTTATCTGCTTGCACACCCTAAATTACATGATACCGCTGTAAAATCCGTCAGAATGGAATACGAATAGTGTTATGAGTCTGAAAACGTAGTTTACAATGTGAATTTGTTACAGCACCTTCCTGACGAATTTCGTGCACATGGACCTTCAGATAGTTTTTCAGGCTTTCGATTCGAGTCTTACACGAGACAAATAAAAAAATCTGTGCATAGTGGGTATGCTGTTGCAAAGCAAGCAGCTCAGCGTTATGCCGAGATGTCCTTCTGCGATAGGCTTCAAGTTAGCCGTTTAAATAATAATACCACAATAGCCGTTAAGGAGGTCTCCAATAGACAAGTAATTATGTTTAATAATAGTAAATTAACTTCGTTTAAGCCTGGTAATGTTGTGGTAGAAAACGAACAGCCTGGTTTAGTCACTGATATAAAGGAGGATGTACTGCTAAAATTTAGGTCTTTCACTGACCCACGCAATTACTTCGAAGATTGTTTCCCATCCAGTTATACAGGGACATTGACTGTAAATGTATAGCCATTAATTCTATCAGTCATTTAGTTATAGTTACATTGTTGCATACTTTTATGCGAAAGTATTTTGTTTCATTTCAGCTTAATTCATGATCATAAACCATTCCATTACCTCTTATATTATATTTAGTCCGCTAACAAACAATAGGTCATTATTGACGTTCCTAGCAAGAAAGAACTTATGCTAGCAGCCAAGCAGTGGATTTTTGGCAAAGAACTTTCCCTTTTTCCAACGGAGCTGGTCAATATCCACCTGCAAAACTGCGACCGACCAGATGACAATTGGTCAGTTCTGAAATGTAAAGTAATTCACGCAATCGGTGGGTAACAAACACAGAAATTATTATTTACTATAGACTCTCCAAATACTGGAACTTCACCGTAAAAACACTTCAACAGAAGAAAACACCTTGCCACTCATTACAATAATCTTACTGACATTTTCTAGAGGTGCATTGAATCCTTAAGAAGGATTTCTTTACAATTCAGTAGACATGGATGTTGCCGAGATGCAGGCTGGTAATAGCCACGTACAATATCCGAAATTTCGGTTGTTTGACAGAGTCGCCTCGCCAATTGCCAAGTACGTTGCATTACTATTTAGATGATAATGAAGTAGTTCGACACAATTAGATACTTCACCGTCAACATTAGAATCTAAGCATGTAGGCTATGCTTCAGCGGCCCAGTATATCACCTGTACGATCAAGGGAAGTTTTTCAGATTTGATAGGTTGTAAACAATGATGCAGAACATGTCGTCAGCTATTACTGACTTGAGTACAAATGTAAAGCTGATACTAGCGAAGTTCGGTGAACGCGAACATCCGCATCAATCCGACTGCGGACTATAAAGTCAGCAGTTCCCTTTGTCATCTGAAGAGGAACTGCAGATTCTGGACACCGGTTTGCAGCAGAAAGAAACCAGGGACAGTTTTGTAAGTCAACAACATTAATTTTATAATTTGTTCGTATTATAGATGGCCATGGTAACGAGGTTAATGGATAATGATCCTAAAACCCCAATGCGATATGCTTTGTCGTACCTTGTAGCGTAGCGTCAAGTCGCGGTGGCTGCAATTAAACGCAACTCAATTTCGTAAATGTGCCCTTCAGCTTAGCAACCAATCAGAATGTGGCGGGAATTATTATGTCAGCCATCTTTGTACGTAATGGTGGTCGGCTTTCTTCGTTCTGTACTTCTTTTAGCTATTTCTTTTGTGTAGCTATGTAATTAATGTTTCAATGTGCTAAGATGCCGCAGTTAGTGTAATGTTCTACATGGTGGTGTGAAATTTACTTCGAATCGGCATTGTTTTTTGTGTTTTTGCTGCTTCAGATTTGTGTGGTAAGGACAGAAGGCCTACAGCCTATGTTATTCCTTTTCTAGTATGCTTCTGTGAGTGTCCAGTCTTCTCTTGAAAGAATCAATTGAAGGTGCGGACACCACTGCTTGAGGCAGCAGGTTCTAAGTATTGATGACTCGGTGTGAAAACCTGTATGCCACGGGTATTTTGTTCGTTCTTGGCTTT